ATTATAGTACATTTTAATATACAAAAATTCATTCAGCAGAATGATCGAAACCATGTTGAAATTTATAAACAATATGTTTGCAATATGTTTACAATTACTCAAATACAGTTACTCAAACAGCTGTAACATGAGTGCTTATGCATATGTGCATGAAACTTGAAAAGGCTTATACAGGAGAAGATTCTAAGGTCATACACAAACTCTTTCGTTAACAGATTATTTGACAATGATTAAAGCAAAGCAGGAGCTGGTTGTGTGTTAGGGACGGTCTCAAAAGTACCGGACGCTAAATCAGCGTTCACATATTTATAGAGGAAAACTAATGTTTAAATTACAAATGATTAAACAGAACCGCCTGGGTGATTAATGATCAACATGGAAAAAATGGCATGTTTAGACAGTCAAAGTGTTTTTGTGATGTCACTGAGAAACCAGAAAGTCCTCCGTCCTGAACACTTTCCTGTTTTGGAAAATGTAAAATTACAGCTTTCCTATGACTAACTATGACTATTACAAAGCACTGACATTGGAGACTCCTTCCAAACACTCCTTTATCTGCACCTTTTGATCTGATCTGTACAAGTCTTAGCAATCAGAAATGAAAATTCAACAAATTTCCGTTCACTTAGTTCAATAAGGCCTTGTTCTCTCAGGATTATGTTCTACAGTTTGGTCTGTGGGGAGAAAATGTGGTCAGCAGGTGGAACGGTGGAGTGGCCACGATTGAGGAATGTCCAGATGAGGACGTCTGGGGTGTAGTGTGGAAAATGGCAATCGAGGACGTCACGTCTTTAGATAAGTATGACAAGTTTTTCTTTCAGCCTGCTTCAGTTTATACTGTCTTATACAGACCCTGTATATAACGTGCATTATTGGCAGTAAAAACTCAAATTAGGTCAAATAATTTTTGGCTGTTTGCTAGAATTCATCCGCAGTGATATCTGATGGGTTTTTGATGGGTTTGCTGATGAGGTATTGTGTGGTTTTGGATGTAACTAAGCAAACAAGCCTACCATTCTCATGTTCCTGTGAATCTGTTCAGATGGTTTGCACCTACAGGCAGTGAGCAGAAGTGATATATCTGTGTTTACTTTTATTTCTCTTGTCCTGCACTGATTCATGACTGAACAATCAGTCAGAGACTCCTGTGTCCCGCTGACCTCCAACACCCATGTAACATGCACAAGTGGGTTCTGTGCTCTTTTTTGAATAGCAAAAAATATAACTTAAGAAGATTCATTTTGTTTTGTTTTATCCATCAGACAGGAAAGCGTGGACATGGGTGTCTACAGCCCCATGGAGGTGACAGTGGGGACAGAAACTGGGCCGCTTCTCTGTAGAACATATAAGATGAACAACTTCAGACCCTGTGCTCCATCACCACAGTACAAAGAGGTACATTTTATTTTAAACACAGAGTAACCAAACATTTTCACACCCGTTCCCTGTTATACATCATCAGAGCTCCAGTTCAGGAAAAAAAAAAAGAAAACACATAAATAAGGTAATGTATTGTGTCTATTAATGATTGACTACATAAGAGCACTCATGTAAAAGTGCAAACAGTCAGGCAGATGCTTTTAGCTTGGCCTTGTAATTATTCAAATGGTCTCCTGCACCTTCTAATAGCTCTAGCTAATGTTTTCCCACATGGCTGGCTCTGCCTTCATAAGATGGTTTCAGAAATACAGTTATAGTACTTAATGATTTATAAGTACAGAATATTACTTAATAAACAACATACTGCTTTTGGAACAGCAGGTCATGGTTGTTTCAGTTATAGCAATTTTTCATGAAATGATGTGCAATAATAAATACAAATCCCACATTTTGTCCTTATTTTCATTGTCAGCTGTCCTTCCCATACTGTAACTAAAAACCCATGCTGTTACTCTTCTTGCGTAACGGCTAAAACAGTGCAGACCATTGACTGGTCAAATGCAATCATCACACATTCGTCCTGATTCCTGTCTCTGGCTACACTCGCTTTTGTCCCGAGTAGTGCAGTGACTGCCTGACAACGTTTCTTCCTCTTCAGATGTTTGGCTTTTGTAGCCCAAATTTATCCCAAAGTCCCAATTTTATTATAGAATTTAATGTTTTAGATTCATTGATGTTTCCTTGTCTCTATTTTTTTAATTTTCTTATCTCTTATAGTTATATAAACATGCGTTTTTCTTTTTCTTCTTCTTTACATTAGTATTATTATTGCTTTTGTTTCTTATCCTTTATTTAAATTTTCATTTACATGCTTTCTATGATTTGTGATATATCTGTACAGTGTCCTTGGGTACCCTAAAGGGCAACTTTAAATAAAATGCTATTATTATTATTATTATTATTATTAATATTATTATTATTATTATTTGTAGTAGTAGTAGATGTTGATACCGATAGGTGATTTTTAGCACTTAAAAAATACAGGAAAAATACATAGCTAAAGCATGTTTTACACAAAACCTAATATTATAAATATAATATAATAAAATATAATATAGCATAAATATAATCAAAATCAATCCTAAAAAAAAGACTCTTTATAAGTAAAGTTTATATGTAAAAAAAATATTTTCCAAATCCTGTTCCAGTCTTTTGTATTTGTTACAGGATTGGATCAAATTCATTCTTTTTATTACAATATCTGATCCATCCATTTTTGGTGGCATCAATCCAATTCCTAGGTATTGAATCAGTGCCATTTCAGTAGTAGTAATAGTAGTAGTAGCATTACAGCTGTTGTGCTACTCATAATTCTTCAGGTTAGTGCTTGCTACAGAGGAAATGAGTGACTCTTTTTTTACATTGAGTTAGCACTCAAACAATAATTGTCAAGAGGATTAAAGTAGTGAAATAGACAAGTCACAGCATTACAGTTTAATACATAATAAGGTATATTTCCTTTTTTTTAATTTTCAAAGAAATCAATTTACAAATTTTGAGTAGTTTTATACTAATCGTGTCCATTAGTCACTGGTCGCTACCCTACAACCTCCAGACAGCTCTTCCTACTTTTATGAATCTTTTTTTTTTTCTGGATCTGTATTAGTAACCATTCCCTGCAGTACCACACTGTCCAGTGGCTTCTAGTCTGCTTCTCATATGGCAAAAGCCTTAATTAAAAAACTGACTGCGTTGTTAAAGTCTCTCTCTCCATGTCCAACTGCAGGTCATGTGTTTAGGAGCCCAACAGAACGGATTACCTGAAGACTACATAAAGAAATTACAGGCTGTGGAGACCAATAACTACACTGGACCTTCAATATTAGATGAGATTAAAAAGCATAGAAACTGAATGTTTGGGGGGAAAAAAGAAAAGAAAACGAAAGCTCCAGCAAAGTCGCAATTTTACTCAATGAAAAGTCAAAGTAGAGGATCAAAATTATGCTTAATTGGTTATGCTTTACATTAAGGATCCCTTATTATTAGTTAACATGAAGAAACCATGTACTTCTGCATTAATAAACCATAAGTAACACTGACAAAGTAACTTATATTAATTAGTTGTTTTTTTTTAAATAATAAGCCAAATAATCAACACAGTTGTTGACCAACTTCAGCAATGTTCATTCCATCAATGAGCAAATGAATAATGTTCAACATGAACAACACCTTAATCAACATGACTGTGACTGTGAACTGGCAAACCTCTTAACTGAGGCTGAAAATCAACTTTTTTTTTACTAAAAATGTAGTTTTTTTCATTTCATTTAATTTTTGCTGAGATAATATGGATTTATAGTGTAGTACACATTATAGTGTAGAATAAACATTATTCAATGCAGGTTTGCTAACATTTAAACAAACCTTAATACAAATTAATTTACTTTGGTAATTTCTTAACATTATTTCTGGTTCTTCTTCTTCCGGCTGCTCCAGTTAGGGGTCACATTATAGTATAATGTTAGGGGTCGCCATGGTGCATCATTGGTCCACATATATGATTTGGCACAGTTTTTATGCCAGATGCCCTTCCTGATGCAACCCTCCCCAATTTTATCCAGGCTTGGGACCGGCACTGGGAGTGCACTGTCGTGTTGGTTCCCTGGCCGGGACTCGCACCCGGGCCGCAGCGGTAACAGCACCGAGGTCTAACCGCTAGTCCTCCAGGGACCCAAATTTCTTAACATTCTTTATGGTTTATTAATGCTGAAGTTCATGGTTAACCAACACAGTAAATAATGTTGAACCCTAAAACCCAGTGCTTTTGAATTCTCAAATCTGATAGACTGGTTAGAAGGTACTGATTAATTTTCTAACAGCAGCTCTGACAGCAGTGCTGGCTGTAATTCACATCACAGGTTTACATTAATGCACTCATTCTAATACATTATTGTTTCGATAGTAACAACTTACACAAGGACTTGTATAGTGGATGCTCCAGAGAGATGGAATAAAAATGTGTGTAATTGTTGAAATGGTGACGTTTTCTGTAAGGAGATGTTTAACATTTCTGGAAGTAGTCTCCAGTGTCAGAGGTAACGAGCCACAAGTCAGGTAACAATCCAGAGGTAAAACTTTTGTTTTCTTTGCAGTTTCTATGTAACACAACAAGTGGCATTTATTTATTTATTTAGTCTTATCTTTGAGAGAGAAAAAATGCTGTTGCTGGTGAGGGAACATAGTGGTGATGTTACAAAAAGGACACGTTCTTTGATAACTAAAAAAAATAATAGTTTTTTTATGTTTATGTTTATAATAGTTGACAAATTACTGTTTTGTAAAAGGAATAAGGCACTTCAGAATGCGCTGTTATAGGGAAATAACTATTTTAACTATTTTTTTTCCTCATGGTAAAGTATAAATGCCCCTAAATGATACTTAAGTATAATAATAAAGTACAGTAACTGAAGTACATAGTCCTGGCAGGAAGACGCTCACAGGTTCCCAGTGCTTTATTGCGATTTTTGACAGAAAATGATGAGGAGCCAAACACAGATTTGCAGTGACGAAATTTTAAAAGGTTTTGATGGACATTTAGCATTTTTCTAAACTGCACTTATGTTAGATATATCTTCATTGAAATGTATTCAGTGGTACTTCATAATGAAATGGCAAATAACCAAATAACATCTAACTTACAAATTCATAATATTCATGAAATTCATCAAAGTGGATTTTTCTATTGTCCTGTATTAGTGCAATGTATTGGTCTGGTGGCAGACCAAATCTAAATCACTCGATAACATTTCTACAAAATGTTTTTCTTTTCCTTCAGGAAAAAATAAAAGTACAATTGAATAAGTGAATGTGAGGATTTTTTATGTAATAAGCCTAACTACAGTACACGCCTTACATATGGATATCCCATTCTCATATTAAGTGTACAATCAAAACATGTACTTGAAATAACGACTTGCCACATGATTTTCAAAAAGCTACCATGTCATACTGTGACACAGGACACGTCAAAACTACAAGCATCAACAATAAGTGGTCAGATTACAGTGAGCTTTCAGTTCTGTGTTCACCTTGAACAGCTTGTTCCTGTGAAATTCGGAACCCAAACTCATAGAAAACGAAATGCTTTAGTAAAACTTCATCTACGACTATTGCCTGTGAAACACAGCAGCACATTTTAGCAAAAAAAATGGCACTTGATTATTTTAGCACCAAGCTATGTAATCTCCACACTAAAAAAAAAAAAAAAAAAGAAAGAAAATGGACCATTTCTTTTGAATGGAGAGGTGAAAATTAGTTTCTACTCCAGATCTCTATTTACAGAATTTTTTTTTTTTTTTTTTAAAAGTTCACCCAGCATCCTTTATGTCTACAACGTGGCTGTGTTCAATGACTGAATTGTCCTCGTTCTCCTGAGCTGTTTCTCTTACTCAGGAGGAAAGAATCGTGTCCAGTGTAGATACCATGACGCTACATCCTGAAGCCCAGATGGTTCAACACAGCAGTGCGTTTTTGCACTCTGTTGTCCTTTGGTGTGCTAAAATGGAAATGGGGAAGGAGGAAGAAGGGGGAAAAAAAAAAAAATCATCACACATGGGCAGGATCCCTGAGTCAGTTTTAATTGTCTTTTGGCACAGGTGTGAATTTGAGGTGATGACAGGTCTTTGTAAAATCACTGAGGTTCTGGATCACAGGGTGCGTAGTCTTCAGTGATGAAATGAGAGAACCTAAAAAAGAAAAACGGACAAACAATGCTATACACTCCTTGTCCAGGGCAGGATGAATTCATTCCAAAGAAAAGGCATCATCATGTACAATACCTGTGCAATGTTAGCAATTGTTTAATCCGTAGGGTGTTCTGGGCACGACCTATTCACCTCAAACCATTCATCAATACACCTGTTTAAAAAAAAAAAAAAACGTAAATACGGATTAGTAACCAGAGCCATGCACGCTTGGATCAGGTTTGTCTTGTAATGTGTGTTTGTCTTGTCTTTACCCTTTGTGGTAGATACAGAGGCAGGGCAGTCTGGCAATGGTATCTCCCTGTTCCATGTCATCCAGGCATATTGCACACTCCCCAGAGTCCTTCATCAAGACATCCTCTAAAGTCATAAAGAAACAGACATTACTTGGTTGTTACGGATTCATGGTTAGTCACAGCGTATGACTGGATCATTACATCACTCTTGACTTTCAAAAATACAGTATAAAATGCATTTACGTCTATTACCATCTACCCGTTCAGCTTTTTACCTGGTTTCTTACTCTAATGGATGCCTCCATGTTTGTCTTTTGTTGGCTACAATCTAGCAAACTGTTCTGAGTGATGTATATTTACCTCCTCGAAACAGTGAACTGTATAATCAATGTTATAGATTTAACACGTTAATATGTCGTTAATACGTTACGTTAATATTTTGATTGATCTAAAGCAAATACTAGTATATACAGCATACCTCATTTAAAAGTAAAAAAAGTGCTACTTTGTTTACTGTTGATGCTGTGAGATATGCCATGTTGATATGTGGAGAAGACCTTCCTAAGGTTCCAAGTAGGAATTCTGAGTTGTAAAGGCGTATTCTTTGGTTTTTCCTAGACGGAGGTCAGAAAGTCAGAGCTTTAGTTGAACACAGCAACCTCCGTTTCATTGCACAGGGGACGTGACGGCACTGAAACCCCCCCTGGCTGTGTAATCAGCTACTGCTGTAAACACATTACATCACTACTTCTGTACCCTTATCTTTTTGTAGTGCATCTTTACATTGCTACCCCCTGTACCTTTATTTGCACATTTCATATGCATATCTCTCCTGGAAACATGGATATAATGTTTCTTTAAAAAAAAAAAAAAAAA